AAAAAAAAAAAAAAAAATCCAGTTACAATCCGAGTTATGCTCCCTCGGTAGGATGTGAGTGTTTACGTAAGTATAATATAAATTTATCAAATTCACAAGCATCTTTCCACATTGTTTGACCATTCTGCCTGACGTTAGATAGATGAAACCCTAACTTGTGTTCTTTTGTAACAACTTCCTACGTACTGATCCTCGATTTAAACTAATAAAAACGCGATGTTATGTTTTATCAAGATCGAGATCGCATTTTATTCGAGTCAGCGTGCAAAACAGTGCATCGACGATACATTTTATACGAGAGATAATACGCAAATATAGTAGCCGGGTGAGATCCGATCAATGACGTTCAATCGTTGCGCTCCACGTGCCTGCGGGGTACCCTCGCAGTAACTATATAGCCATAATTCGACCGTTCACTGACGTTTTGCGCGAGTATTTTCATTCGTTGCCTAATGGAATGTCGTCTTTATAATCGGGTAAAGAGAAGCACCGAAACTGACGGCACTCCCGAAGCCCTATTACACGGGGTGGCGGCGACCACTTAGCTGGTAAAAACCATCAGTGCGATTATTGCGATCGGGCCGCGACGATCCCATGATCGTGAGCTCCGATAGAGACTCTCTGGCAGTGTTCTCTTGGTCAATGGAAACATGGTAAAATTTCTGTTAATCGTACGTGTCGTGGGTGTGCAAAGGACAATGAGACATCGTGGGTTCGATTCTTTTTTTTTTTTTTTTTTTTTTTTTTTTTAAAGAGGAAAGAAGGAAAAAAGTACGAAAGGACGAAGATGGAGAGGATTTTCTAGATCTAGCTGTGTTCGTAATGGGAACAACGTCGAGTAAAAATTAAACGGAATGGTGATTTTTATTATAAAGCAGCTTTTCGAAAAAAAGAAAAGGATTGTTTGACCTTTGCACAGCCAGGAGTACGGTGTTCTCTTGACGATGTAGCTTTGGATAATAATTAAGTTAAGAGATTGTTTCTCCTCGATTAAGATGTAAGATCTTAAGTACAAGATTGAATTTCTGGTTGTCAGCGGAGAAAGGCAACTGCCTTTTGTAGAAAGTAATTAAAGAGTGAATTCTAGTGTGACATTCGCGATCACGTTTTTGAAAGAAAGTACAATGATATCAAATAAATTCAATTTCTTAAGACATGCTCGTTTTCTGTAAGACTTTGCTAAAATCCGATCTGAATTCATTTTCGCTGTTGTAAACAATTGTTTAATTGTTTAATTTCATTTGTTTTACTTCTTACGATCCTCATGTTTTCACATCTCTAATGAACGAACTCTGAATTGTTCCGAAACAGGTTCATCCTTCATTGTCATGTTATATATTAATTTTTCATTTTCAATTGACCTATGTCTAAAATCGAGAAAACACGGTATATCTCGATCGATTCAAAAAAAAATTATCTTTGCTCTCACTTTTAAAATTATAATTACATTTTACAGTGAATACTTGAGAAAGCTTCAAAAACATATACTTTGAAACGAACCTTGCCCGAGATTTCACATGCTTAACAGAAATAAAAAAATGAAAAATATAGCTTGGACAAGTATTGAAAAAAGAGAATTCCTCGAACTTTCTTGAATAAGTTCCATTTATATTAATATAGACAGTACGACACGATGTCGACCACGTGCGCGAACATTAAAAGGATTACGCTGTAGCATCTAATAATTGGCTTGTTTTGCGAAAGACTGCTGAAAGTTTCGATTATCTGTGACGAGGATGCAGTAATTGGAAAAAGTCGGAATTACATTGTTTAACGAGATCATTTATTTCGTGACGTTGCAACGGCAACGACAAGGAGAAAGACAAGAATATTTCTCACTCTTCTCTTTTCAGACTCTATTCGAACAAGATGATTCGAACTTTTACAATTTCAATCAAGTAACGTTTAACCATACCTGATTCGAAGTATTTCAAAAAAAATATGATTATGTCAAAATTACACAAAGAGCCAAAGAGCTACTAGTTGAAATAGTAAAGCAAAGGAAATGGGATTTGCAGAATTTATCGACGATGGTGAAAGTGGGTTACGCTCTGGTGATTTTCACCCTGTTGCTGATGATGTGGGCGTCATTGGCTCGGATGCACGAGCTCCCGGTGCAGTATCCACCGTGTTTCTTCAATCCTCTTTGCACCTGTTCGAAAGCCATTCCCGATCTGGGAATAGTCACTTGTTATAACGTGCCGATGCCGCGGATACCTCAGCCGATAAACTCCTCCAAAGTGTTCATGCTGCAGTTGGAGAACAACGGATTGATGTTTCTACAGCCACATTTCCTCATGAACACCGGTACGAAATAGAGGGAAGTTTGTAAATTGTAGACGGCGACGGTTTGAAATGAATTGAAATTTTAACAAACTATTTCAAAATATTCTATGCAAATGGGGAACAAATTTTTGATATGGACGATATTCAGTGTAAACAAACATATAAACAATATTCGACAGTTTCTCAATGTAGAAAGAATTTCGAAGGAGGAATATCTGGAGGTTTCCATGATTTTAATTGTCGCGATCGATGATCCGAAACTTTCAACATATGTTTTTTCACAATATAGTAGTTCTGAGATTACCATTTATTTCTTCAATATAACGATTCGAAAATTAC